TTTCGGGGTGTGTTTCAAGGTGTATTTCGGGGTGTTTTTGGGCTGTGTTTTTGGGGTGTTTTGGGCCTGTATTTCCGGGTGATTTTCGGGGTGCGTTTTGTTTCTTGTGGTGTGTTTTGGGGTGTTCCTTAGAGTGTTTTTGGGGTGTTTTTGGGGTGTAGTTAGGGTGTGTTTTGGGGTTTTTTGGGCTGTATTTTGGGTGTATTTAGGATGTATTTAGGGTGTATTTTGGGGTGCTTTTGGGGTGTTTTTGGGTTGTAGTTGCGCTGTATTTTGTGGTGCTTTTGGGGTGGTTTTGGGGTGTCTTTTGAGGTGTTTTTGGGTTGTAGTTACGCTGTATTTTGGGGTGGTTTTGGGGTGTTCTGGGGATGATTTTGGGGTGTATCTCAGAGTGTTTTTGGGGTGGTTTGCGGCTGTACTTCAGGCTGTTTTTCAGGCTGTATTTTGGGGTGGTTTTGGGATGTATTTGAGGTGTTTTGGGGTTGTAGTTGCGCTGTATTTTGGGGTGCTTTTGGGGTGTTTTTGGGTTGTAGTTGCGCTGTATTTTGTGGTGCTTTTGGGTTGTAGTTACGCTGTATTTTGGGGTGGTTTTGGGGTGTTTTTGGGTTGTAGTTACGCTGTAGTTTGGGGTGGTTTTGGGGTGTATTTTGGGGTGTTTTGGGTTGTAGTTACGCTGTATTTTGGGGTGTTCTGGGGATGATTTTGGGGTGTATCTCAGAGTGTTTTTGGGGTGGTTTGCGGCTGTACTTCAGGCTGTTTTTCAGGCTGTATTTTGGGGTGGTTTTGGGATGTATTTGAGGTGTTTTGGGGTTGTAGTTGCGCTGTATTTTGGGGTGGTTTTGGGGTGTCTTTTGAGGTGTTTTTGGGTTGTAGTTACGCTGTAGTTTGGGGTGGTTTTGGGGTGTATTTTGGGGTGTTTTGGGTTGTAGTTGCGCTGTATTTTGGGGTGTATTTTGGGGTGTTTTGGGTTGTAGTTGCGCTGTATTTTGGGGTGTTCTGGGGATGATTTTGGGGTGTTTTGGGGTTGTAGTTACGCTGTATTTTGGGGTGATCTGGGGATGATTTTGGGGTGTTTTGGGGTTGTAGTTACGCTGTATTTTGGGGTGTTCTGGGGATGATTTTGAGGTGTATTTCAGGGTGGTTTTGGGTTGTACTTCAGGCTGGTTTTGGGCTGTATTTTGGGGTGGTTTTGGGGTGTTGAGGTGTTTTTGGGGCTGCATTTGGGCTGTATTTTGGGTTGTGTTTTGGGCTGTATTTTCGGGTGTTTTTGGGGTGTTTTGGGGCTGTTTGTGGGGTGGTTTTGGGGTGTATTTGAGGGTGTTTTTGGGGTGTATTTTGGGCTGTTTTTGGGGTGTTTTGGGGCTGTTTGTGGGGTGGTTTTGGGGTGTATTTGAGGGTGTTTTTGGGGTGTATTTTGGGCTGTTTTTGGGGTGTTTTGGGGCTGTTTGTGGGGTGGTTTTGGGGTGTATTTGAGGGTGTTTTTGGGGTGTATTTTGGGCTGGTTTTGGGGTGGTTTGGGGCTGTTTTTGGGGTGTTTTGGGGGTGTATTTCAGGGTGTTTCTGGGATGTATTTTGGGGTGGTTTGGGCTGTTTCTGGGCTGGTTTTGGGCCGTATTTTGGACTGTATTTTGGGGTAGTTTTGGGGTGTATTTCAGGCTGTATTTTGGGGTGGTTTGGGGTGTTTTTGGGGTGGTTTGGGGTTGGTTTTGGGGCTGTTTTTGCGGCGTATTTTGGGGTGTCTTTGGGCTGTTTTGGGGTTTTTTTTGGCTGTATTTTGGGGTGGTTTTGGGGTGTATTTGGGGCTGTATTTTAGGCTGTTTTGGGGCTGGTTTTGGGGTGTATTTCAGGGTGTTTTGGGGCTGTATTTTGGGCTGCATTTGGGCTGTATTTAGGGTGTATTTTGGGATTTTTTGGGGTTTTTTGGGGCGGTTTGGGGCTGTATTTCGGGGTGTATTTCAGGCTGTTTTTGGGCTGTTTCTGGGGTGTTTTTGGGGTGTTTTTCGGGGTTCCCCTCCCCTCTAAGAGCTGTCTCCCCTCTCCAGGTGGGCTCCGAGTGCACCACGGTTCTCTACAACTTCATGTGCAACAGCTCCTGCATGGGGGGCATGAACCGCCGGCCCATCCTCACCATCCTCACCCTCGAGGGGCCGGGGTGAGCCCCCAAAAACCGGGGAACCCCCCCGGGACCCGACACACCGCGCCCCAAAACCCTGACGGCTCCCGTCACCCCGAAAAAACGGGATTTCTGCACCAAAATCGGGGTTTCTGCACCAAAATTGGGGTTTCTGCACCAAAATCGGGGTTTTCTGCACCAAAATTGGGGTTTCTGCACCAAAATTGGGGTTTCTGCACCAGAATTGGGGTTTCTGCACCAAAATTGGGGTTTCTGCACCAAAATCGGGGTTTTCTGCACCAGAATTGGGGTTTCTGCACCAAAATTGGGGTTTTCTGCACCAAAATTGGGGTTTTCTGCACCAAAATTGGGGTTTTCTGCACCAAAATTGGGGTTTTCTGCACCAGAATTGGGGTTTCTGCACCAAAATCGGGGTTTTCTGCACCAAAATTGGGGTTTCTGCACCAAAATTGGGGTTTTCTGCACCAAAATTGGGGTTTCTGCACCAAAATTGGGGTTTCTGCACCAAAATCGGGGGTTTCTGCACCAAAATCGGGGTTTTCTGCACCAGAATTGGGGTTTCTGCACCAAAATTGGGGTTTTCTGCACCAAAATTGGGGTTTTCTGCACCAAAATTGGGGTTTTCTGCACCAGAATTGGGGTTTCTGCACCAAAATCGGGGTTTTCTGCACCAAAATTGGGGTTTCTGCACCAAAATTGGGGTTTTCTGCACCAAAATTGGGGTTTCTGCACCAAAATTGGGGTTTCTGCACCAAAATTGGGGTTTCTGCACCAGAATTGGAGTTTCTGCACCAAAATTGGGGTTTCTGCACCAAAATCGGGGTTTTCTGCACCAGAATTGGGGTTTTCTGCACCAAAATTGGGGTTTCTGCGCCAAAATTGGGGTTTTCTGCACCAAAATCGGGGTTTTCTGCACCAAAATTGGGGTTTTCTGCACCAAAATTGGGGTTTCTGCACCAAAATTGGGGTTTTCTGCACCAAAATTGGGGTTTCTGCACCAAAATCTGAATTTTTTGCCCCAAAATTGGGATTTTTTGCCCTAAAATCTGAATTTTCTGCTCTTAAAAATGGGGGATTTTCCTAAAATCTGGGATCCTTCGCTCCTAAATTTGGGATTTTTCACCCTAAAAATTTGGGGTTTGGGGGGTCCTTGGGTGGGGTTTTTGGGCTGTTTTTGGGCTGTTTTTGGCCGATTTCGGGGTGTTTCTGCCTGTTTTTGGGGTGTTTCTGGCTGTTTTCGGGGTGTTTCAGCCGATTTTGGGGTGTTTCAGCCGATTTTGGTGTGTTTCAGCCGATTTCGGGGTGTTTCTGGCTGGTTTTGGGGTGTTTCAGCCTATTTTGGGGTGTTTCTGGCTGTTTTCGGGGTGTTTCAGCCGATTTTGGTGTGTTTCTGCCGATTTCGGGGTGTTTCTGGCTGTTTTTGGGGTGTTTCTGGCCGATTTTGGGGGGTTTCTGGCGGTTTTTGGGGGGTTTCAGCCGATTTTGGGGTGTTTCTGGCTGTTTTTGGGGTGTTTC